CTGTGGTTGGTCTTTGGCACAGCTTGGCCTTTGTTTCAGTTGTGTTTTTTTTGTGCAGCCTCTTGTTGCTTTCCTTGGTTGCAGCCTCTTGTTTCTTAGCATTTGGTTGTGTTGGACTTTGGTCTTTGGTTGTGTTGGCCTGTGGTTGGTGTTTGACACAGCTTGGTCTTTGTTTCAATTGTGTTTTTTTTGTGGTTTCCGTTGTGTACCTGACATGTTGCAATGGTGTTTTTTTATGCTTTCCTTGGTTGCAGCCTGGATTTGGTGTATGGTTAGTCTTTGACATTTGGTTGTGTTGGCCTTTGGTCTTTGGTTGTGTTGGCCTGCGATTGGTCTTTAGCACAGCTTGGCCTTTGTTTCAGTTGTGTTTTATGTGCAGTCTCTTGTTGCTTTCCTTGGTTGCAACCTCTTGTTGCTTAGCATTTGGTTGTGTTGACCTCTTGCAGCTCTTGGTTTCCTTTGGTTGGTCAGCTATGGTTGGCCTTCGGATTCAGTTGATGCTTGTGTTGGCCTCTTGCAGCTCTTGATTTTGTGCTTTCCTTGGTGGCAGCCTCTTGTTTCTTGGTATTTGGTTGTGTTGGCCTTTGGTCTTTGGTTGTGTTGGCCTGTGGTTGGTCTTTGGCACAGCTTGGCCTTTGTTTCAGTTGTGTTTTTTATGCAGCCTCTTGTTGCTTTCTTTGGTTGCAGCCTCTTGTTGCTTGACATTTGGTTGTGTTGGCCTCTTGCAGCTCTTGCTTTCCTTTGGTTGGTCAGCTATGATGATGGCCTTCGGATTCAGTTGATGCTTGTGTTGGCCTCTTGCAGCTCTTGATTTTGTGCTTTCCTTGGTGGCAACCTCTTGTTGCTTGGCATTTGGTTGTGTTGGCCTCTTGCAGCTCTTGATTTTGTGCTTTTCTTGGTTGCAGCCTCTTGTTGTTTGGGATTTGGTTGTGTTGGCCTCTTGCAGCTCTTGCTTGTCCTTTGGTTGGTCAGCTATGGTTATCCTTCGGATTCAGTTGATGCTTGGCCCTTATTTAAATTTTGTGCAAGTTTATTGTACTCTCTGCCTTGGTTCCAGCTCTTGGTACTATTATGTGTTGTTGGTCAGCTATGGTTGGCCTTTTGGTTTCATGTTGATGCTTGGCCTTTGTTTTAATTTTGTGCATGGTTTCAACCTGCTCTCGGCCTTGGTTTCAGCTCTTGGTTGGCCTTTGGTTGGTATGCATATTTTGTGTTATGATGATGGGCTATTTTTAAGATATGCAGCCAAAGTTTATAGCGCATATTTTGTGTTATGATGATGGGCTATTTTTAAGATATGCAGCCAAAGTTTATAGCAACAATATATTAGCGAGGCAATATATTGCAACCAACATTGCTTTATAAACTTTATGACGAGGCAGATAATGAAATAATGGCCTTTTCTGAGCACAACTATTATGTTGGGTGGTAATCTTACCATGGTGACCACAATCAAGTTTTCTTAATTTTTTAGTTTGAACCAAACACTAGAAAATGATGTAAAGTACTTTCACTACATATTTTCTTCTTTTTTCAAGTTAAACCAAACACTAGAAAATGATGTAAAGTACTTTCACTACATATTTTTGGGCGAAACAAACACAAGAAATATTTTTCAGGAAAGTGAAGAAAACACAAGAAAGTGAAGGAAAATCATCTATGGAAAGTGAAGGAAACGAACCAAACAGCCCCTAAGTGCAAAGTAGGGAACCCTACAGGGCATTTAAGTGCAATTAAGCCGGAGAAAAATACTTTGACCGCATAATTTCAGCCTGACGAACAATATAGAGAGCAAGGAGAAAAGAGTTACCCGCACGCAGCCAATTGATTTGTCCAAAATAAGGAGAAATCGATGCGTCCGTTACGGACTTGGTCTCTTGCATCGTAGAGAGAGTTCGTTTAACTTATGAGAGATATTTATTGAGAATTGAGCTCCGTCCGCTTGCAAGTTAACCTCAAACATTAATTGGATTATACTCTCCCATTCCCCCCAAGTTTTAGGGCTTGCTGTGGAGGTTGGCTCACGAGTTTCGACCTCATGAGAGCAGTTGGAGGAGGGAGAGGGAGAGAATGGGGTGAGGGTTTCGCGAAGGTGGCGAAGGGGCCGGAGAGGGCCGCTGCGAGCGGCGAGGACCAAAGTCATTGGGAACCCAGGGCTTGGCTCTCGACTCGGCTTTCCTTTTTATTCAACTCTAGTCCTCAAAATCTTCATACTTCGGCACCGCACCCCCTCGACCGCCGCCCCAGAAATTATTAAAATTGATTCTAGGCCCCCAACATTGCATGTCTTGCGAAATTACCCCCCGCCCCCCCAATGCTACGATTCCTTCGGATATGGGGGTAATATTGGGATATAGGGCGCTTAAATACCACAAAAGGACTAAAAGTTGTTTAAAATTAGCATGTTAGCTACTACTGTCGATCATGCAAAAATGAAAATCTTCGCTCGAATGTTTCTCTATGATATAAGCTGGTTTTAGAGCTTCTAACTATTAATATTTGTTAAATCTATTATTAAATCTACCTGTTTTTTTAAACTTATCTTAATTCTACTCTAAAATAAAAGCGGGATATGTTTCACATAATAATGGTTAGAGAGTTGTAAAGTTAACATGTTGGTGTCATATGAGAACATTCAAGTGAAAATTTTAATGTATGCACGATACTAATATGTTAATTTTAGACAACTTGTGGTATTTATTTGTCACAAAAGATAACGTATAGTTATAAATTTTTAAGTGCTACAATGGAGGAACTTTGTGGTATTTAGATAAAGGTGAGTACAAGGTCGGTCTGTTTTTTACTAAATTTTGCCAAACTGAAACCGAGCCGCTTATAATTCAAAACCGAACCGAACCAAAATCAAATCGGTTTGGTTTGTTTGGTATGCACTAGAGCTGCCTACATATATATTTGCTTTCTTGCTCTCTTGCCGGAAACACCTTCACGTGCTACAAGCTGCGTGCAAAATTGAATTAGAACCCGCATAGTGAAATTTAAACTTCTACAGATGCTAGTATTGAACTTTAAATTAGATGGCAGCCACATCTCTACATCAGAAACTATTGGGAAAATAAGACTAATTTTCTATTGTGGACGTGGTAATTGGTTTGGCTGGTCGTTTCGGATTTTAATGTACCGGTTAATGGTTTGGTTGGGTACGGGTAGCAATAAACATATGGGTGGGCTAGGAGTAGATATGTCATATATGGGTTCAATTCAAAGTTAATTATCTAACTTAATATTTGGTAAGAAGGGGTACGTGCAAGTTTGCGATGGCAACAAGGCGTCGGCCGGTTCGGTTTCAAAACCGAATAATACTTTGAAACCCGAAGCAAACCGAATCGATTTCTAAACCGAACCAAACCGTTAAACGTCCGTCGGTATATATTCGGTTTGAACTTTTTTTGCTCACCCTTATATTTAAGTGTCCCCTCTACCATCTCAATAAACTACTTAAACATCCATCTTCTCAATGGTTCTCTCAATGGTTCTCTAAGTATATCATTTAGGAATTGATTATGACAGAAATCATTTGTGTCATGTGAAAAAGATACTTAAAATAAATTTAGGGTTAATTTTACAAAATTGCCCTGAACATTCAAGGGTTTACACATAGCCCTCATGAACTTGGCTTATTTCACCTCTAAACTTTGGGGTGTCTTACAAAACCCTCCAAACTTTCATCTTTTCTCACCGGACCATCGTACCTGTAATTAGAAAATAATTAAAATGTCCTAGAGAGATTAAAAAAATTCAAAACTTAAGGAAGGGGGTAAGTTGCTTGTAAATGAAATATATTAAAATTTGGATTTTTTTTCTCTCGAGAACATTTTAATTTTTTACAAGTTCTAGGCAGGTGGTGGTGAAAAATTAAAGTTCAAGGAGCGGGTTTTAGTGAGACACCCCAAAGTTTAGGGGGTTATGTAAGAAAAAAGGTGTGTGGGTGTGGGTGGGTGTGTGTGTGTGTGTGGGGGGTTTTGAAACTTATATTAAATTTATCTTTGGAAACATAATAACAAGAAAAACCACTAAATAATATGCAAAGAGTTGTTTTACAGGGACCTCAAATCATAAGATCCAAGGGGGGACAGGTGAGGTGTCAACCCCTGGGTGCATGATCTACTGTTCATGAACAGTAGGTCATGCATCCAGGAGTTGACACCTCACATGTCCCCCCTTAATTGGGTCCCATGATTTGATACCCCCAAGGAATTTTTCAAATGCAAATAAGGAATTTGATGCTAAAGAATTCTTTGCCAAAAAGAATTCATTCTATTTGATATATATATATTTAATGCGTACATTAAAACAACCATCGCGATGGTTCATTAGTGAACGTCAATAACAGAATGACCATGAGTAAGCAATATTATCGATCTGTAAACACAATCAATGAAATGCACATGTTTGACAAAACTCTGTAACAAAACAAACTACACGTACGTCTATAAACAAAATAAATAAAGTCAACTCTGGATTATTGAATTTTGAATCAGGACTTCCAGTTGTTAAGAAACTACCCATGAAAAATGTTTGGAAAGAGCAATAGAGAAAAAAAAGGATAAATTTCAGAAAACCTCCTTAACTTTTGGATGATTACCGGATAACGCCCATAAATTTCAATATACCATAAAGCCCCCCCTAAATTTTAGGGGTTATCAGAAAACCCCCTTCAACTTTCATTCTTTCTCAACAAAAGCTTCCAAAAGCATGAACCGCAATTGTCACGGGCAAAAATATACCCTAGCGTACGTGATTTTACCAACCCATGCAAACATTGCACTTAACGCCATTAGGGGGGTTTTACGAAAAAAATGTTAAAGTTGATGGGGGTTTCCTGCTAACACCTAAACTTAAAGAGGGTTTTTTTTAATATTTTGAAAGATATAGCGGCTTATCTGTTAATCGTCCAAAGTTAATTAAGAGGGTTTCCGAAATTTAGCCAAATATTTAATAATTAGGGAAGCTCATCAAGATAAAATCATTATGTAATGTACCTTCTCACCCATAGCGTCCTGAATTAGAACAGTGTCGCCGGACATCCTCCCGACAACTTCTCCGGTGGTTGTTTCCTTGTCGAAGAAAGCAATTTCTTGTCGTAATATCGTTTTCAAGTGCAGATTCCTTATCCTCGCAGCTTGCCTTTCCCCGGTTGCCATCCAACATGACACCTCTGCCAACAAAAAAACATAAAAAAAAAAGAAAAAAAATCATAAAGTTCGTTATTCAATTTTCAGTACAGTACAAATAAGCCTGCAAAAATAGGTATTTTATGTACTTCTCATGTACACTACAGCGGTTGAAGTGGAAAACGTACGGATAAATGAAGCTAGTCCATCTCCCACAGCTAAGTAGAAAAATTGAAGGCACACCTGAAATCAAGAGCATAAATGGGGTAACGACGACATCGCCGAATAAAAACTAAAACACGTTGAAGTTCCTCATTGTGTTCATATATATCGAAACTGGAACAACACATGACGTACTGAATATGTTTTTTCTCATGTTTTTCTTCTTCTACCTTGGAAGCTCTGGGAACCGTATCGTGGATGTCACGAGCTCCTCCTAAAGATTGAATCGAATTCCCGAAAATCACGGTCATGAGAGGCACAGCAGCACCATGAGCCAGAGCGCCAATCGTGCCCGCGATCATTAGAAGCGCATCAGCGGAGTCTGCGAGAGAGAACAGCTTGTAAAATGGAACTGAGTGTTTAGCGTCGCCATTATTAATGTCGCCATCTTCTTCTTTGCCTACAGAAATACTAGAGGATGACTCGTTGAATCCACTTCTATCCTCCATCGACATTCTATCACTAATTCTATCCTTTCTCTTCTTCTATATATATATCAGTACTTCTCAATTTCCATTTTTGTGGACGCTAGCAAGTTGTCAAGGGAAAAGATAATGACAGGAAAGAGAAAATTAAGAGATTGATGAATTGATGGGTATTGGCAACATGTTGACAGGAAACCAGAACCAACAAACAGCATTAATTAGTTTGGTTTGTATTAATTGTTTTGGTGGTATTAGTTGATGAGATAAATATAAGAAGAATAATGCAACAAATAACATTAATTATTTTACTTGTATTAATTATTTTGCTTGTACTAATTGATGGGATATAAGAAGAATAATGTTTTTTTTTGGTAAATGAAAAATTTTATTTCACAACCAAAGTTTGAGCAGTTAAGTACACCTCAAATCCTCAGTTTAAAGTTTAACCGAGGATAATAAAATCAAACCGAAAAAGAAGAGTCAAAAAACCCTTTTAGATCAGGGTGATTTAGGACTGTGTACAAGATCTCCATTTTAATTTCATAGATCACAGCCTCTGGTTCCCTGCATTTTTGCTGAAAAAGCCTTCTATTCCTTTCCCTCCACAGTGTGTATATTGATGAGGCCATGGTCATCCTCTTAAGCTTCTGATTTATCCCTTTTCCTCTCAGACAATTAGAAAACCAATGTAAACATTGGCTCCCCAAACATGATCTCCAACTACAATGTAGCCAATCCAAAACTCCATTCCATACACAGCTAAAAATTAACATTCAAAAAATAGATGGTTCCTGGATTCTTCTGCTGTAATGGAGCACAAACAGCAAATATTTGAAGTGATAATCCCCCATTTAAGGATTCTGTCCTGAGTCAATAGCTTGTCCTGAATGGCAAGCCAGCATATGAAGGAGTGCTTAGGGGTATTAAGCTTCTCCCACACTAATTTCGACCATGGTACATTGATTACGTTTGAGTATAGCAACTGATACAACGCTGATAATTTGATTTTCCCTCCAATGCAGCAGGTACGTATCATATTTTCCAAGTTTTCCAACCCTCCACTGGACAAAAGAGCTTTATCTCTACACTTGATCAATTGTTTCCGAAGAAGAAGAATAATGTTGTGTTTGGATAGAGGGTAGAGAAGTGAAGGGGGAAAAGAAATTTGAGTTTAACATTGTTTGGGAGTTTTATTGGAAGGGTAGAAGAGGGGCAGGTGGGAAAAAGATTTAAATTAAAATCGTACACCCCAAATCGGACGGTAAAAAGGAGAATGGAAAATTGACAATTTCTCTTCCCTTCCCTACTGTTCCTTCCCTTCCCTTCTTAAGTGAGCTCCCAAAGAGACTTTATTGAAGAGAAACCAAATAAAGAGAGACTCGATGTGGCTGTCTACATAATAAAGGGAAAGAAAGGTTCCATATACATTATTAAAGTAAAAGAATATACAAATAATGGTTACTAATTAGCAGCAAATATGATTACAAAATAAGCTAAGTCAACGATCTGCTTAGGGCTAAGGCATGGACCAAATTAGTAAAAGAAAGATGAATACAGCATAAATTGTTTGATTTTGATGTTTGGGTTTCTAAGTTGAGTAAAACAAAACCAAACGAGTGTCTCTGCAAGATAAAATCACAAAGGTTTGCAACTTATTTTTTCGGTAAAACCAATAACCTGTAATATTATCCCATATTCTGGGACTGACTGCATCTGATTTTATATCTAGGAGTACAACATGATTTAGTCTATGCATTTGGCAATGGACGTATTCCACAGGTCACAGTAAAATGTAATTGTCGAAATCGTCGACTGCAGAACTCGCGGGAATTGAAGCAAGGCTTTAGAGGAGCACAGCGAATTGATCAGAATGAAGAGTAGATGAGTGTAGAGAATTTAATTAACAGGTTTTAAGCGGATATATCCAAACCTTAAACACCCTTTCTAAAATACATAAAACCCTATTTTTATCTTCTGATTAATGAGTGAAGTTACTTGCTGCTTCTCGTGGATGTTGTATTTGCTGCCACCATATAAAATCCTTGTGTTTGCCACTCATCAGTTCTTTTATTTGTTTTGGTGATCCTTTGTGATCTCGATTTCCGCATTGCTTCCGTAATATCAGCAACAAATAACCCATATTGAAGAATGTGTACTTAAATGATGCATATATATATATATATATATGGGAAAAGTGTACCTAAGGTGACTCCCTAGATGCAACCTAAGGATGCACGATCTTGACCATTGATTCAAAAATTGGAGAACCTTGACAACTTGGTAGTGATGTGACTTAATCTTGCCCCTACATCACACCTCGAAGATAGAACCTCAACTACCCTTCACAAACTCCAATATAGATGTAGGGACAAGATTAGGCCACATCACTACCAAGTTGCTTGGAGCAACTTGGTACCAAGATTCTCCATTGTATGTTGGAAAAATTACAATAAAGAGAACAAAAGAAAATTGACTTGTATTTCTTTGATTCCGGTTACAATTTGATTACAAAAGAGAAGAAAACGAATTTGGTTCTCTCCTTTGTTTAAAACTGGGTTCTTCAAGGTAGCGATGGAGTGTCTCCTTCGATTGTTCGCGTCGAATTTGCTCTCCATTGACGATCCGACCGTCTTTTATCTAGTGGGAACGATGAACTTCTGTGGAAAGTTTAATGGGTAACTCTTTAACGAGTTTAAGAACTCTGAACGAGTTAGAACTCTGTGAATAGAGTTGTTAGAACCGAAGATTCGGTTAATGACCAAGCAGATATTCTGTTGTTGAAGAATCCTTTCAGTTTTGATCTTCTGCACTCGATTCAAAAATCCTATCTCCAAGGATTTCGTCTCTCCTGCCTCTCTATGCGGTTGAGATCCTGCAGAACTTCCAAACCCGTACGGTTTAGATGCTGAGAATCTAACCTTGCTGCCTCTCTGTTCCAAAAAGCCAGCCCCTAACTCAGTTGAGTTTGTTGAGATTTTATAGGTGGATAAGAGGTTATAACTGCCCTCTAAATCCACTCCTAAGTAGGGGTGATTTCCTCAGATCGTAGGGAAAACAGTTCTAAAACCGTTCGACTCATGTTTGAACGAGTCAAACGCCCAATCTGACATTCAGAACCCCAACTTCGTGTCTTAGAATTGAGACGCGAGGTTGGGTATTGACTGAACATTGATGAACGCGAGGGTCGCTCGTGCTTTGCTTGTTGCAGCTTGGAAACGCTGGGGTCGGGTGTTGGTTGAACCTAAAGAACGCGAGGGTCGTTCGCGTTTGAATTGTTATAGCTTGGAAACGCGGGGGTCGCCTGTATTTCTAGAATTGTAACGCGGGGATGACTTCCGCGTTTTAAAAGGGGTTAGTTGATCTGTAACCTCTTCTATATAGAGCGTTGCAAGGACCGTCGTTCAGTAATCCTAGCTTTAGCTGTTGTAGAGTGTGAAAGTCGTCAGATTGTAACTTTCACTGTAGATTATGGAGACTGCTGAATAGAACTTTCATCAGTTGTCGGAAGTGTCGTTGAATTGTAACTCTTCTCGATCTATGTGAAAAGTCCTCCGTTTGTAGCTTTCGTTTGTTGGCATGAAAGCTATCTGATTGTAGCTTTCATTGTTGGAACTTGATGGGGATCAATTATCCATTGTGATATTTAGACGAATATTTGCTCACAGCTCTCTACCAAGCAACTCACCAACTAAGTCCAACCTTTTATTTCTGAAATCATTACACTGCTCATCAGCATCTCTAATAGTTGCTAATATAATATTAGTCATGTTGTTGTCGCAACCATCAAGATCAATCATCTCAAACATGAGGTCGTGTTTGTAGCGATTATAATGCCACAAATGCAATGATTTAGAAATCTCTTCTGTTTTGATTGTAAGGATAAATTCTGCTTCTTGATTTGAAGGAACCATTGCCTTGTAATCTTGTGGGGATCAGCTATCCATTGTGATTTTTAAACAGCCTACATTCCTAAACTAAATTACCCAAGGTTGATAGATCTTCATTGTAGCTCAACTTGGTAAACTTGGATGAAGCTTGTAATTAGATCTTTAACTTGAATTGTATAGGCTTCAACCACTATTCCACCAACCTCCATTGGATATCATCGTTAAAGCGCAATTCCATCCATCCTCCAACTCGTTGTTTGCCTAGAATAAATACGAAAACACAAACACTAGACAAACAACATTAGGAGTAAATTGTTTGTTAAACATCATCAAAACAAGAAGGCCAACAGCTAGAACGAAGCACATCGATGTTTTATTCGGGGGAAATTATTGTGGGTTAGTTTAGGGGAGAACGAGGAAATAACAGCGTTTTGTATTTACACATACTAGTTCTTGTGCACGTGCAATGCACGTGGTTAAATATCAAAATTATATATTTTTTTGTTTATTTTTTTACTAAAAAGTAAGTAAGATTCATTTTGAGCTAAAATCTAAACATGGATTATTACATTTGCCATAAATTTTATTTAAATATTTTTAAAAAAATTATAAAATAGATTTGTGTGTAAAATTGGGATCAATATACTTTTATATACTTGCATACACAATATTTATTTTTTTATATTATATCAATCTTCATGTAACATATTTGTTTATCGGATCAAATCATCGATCTACAGTTTGTTTATTTTAGTCATTAAATGTAGTGTTAAGTTTAAAAAATACAATAATATATTGTTAATGTGTTAATAAAAATATAGCCAAATACTTAATATTATGATGGTTTGTATAAGCTCAGCACAGAGCACATACTTTTCATAAGACTACAAGACATCTTAATTATTAATAGACTTAAAATAAAAAATAAATACTAAAGATTAATGATGACTCTAGTATAATTTTATATGATAAAATCATTCACATAAGCATATTAAAAAATTTACATGAAAATCACTTCTAAAGATTTCTAATATTACTCAAAAAAATTAAGTTTTACTATAAAATATTTAAAAAATATTATCCTTTATTCCTTCTTTTTTTCATATTTAGTTG